CCCTCCTTGCCCACCTAGGGGCCACTGAGGCCGCCAGCCCTGTGTCCTGCAGCGAGGTTGTCCCCACGGGCTGGAATCTCTGCACTGTCGTCGGGGTGCTGCTGGGCTATCCGGCAGCGTACGCCTTCTCCATAGAGGAGGACACCGAGAACTGCCTGGCGCTGACACCGCTGAGGGTATTCACAGTCCAGGCCTCCTGCCCCAGGATAAAGGACAGTCTCAGGGTGCAGATCTACTCCTTCAGCATCCCGGAGAGCCTCTGCACTGAGCTGAAGGAGGTGCTGGACGCCTGGTGCGATGACCTGAAAGAGGCCTTCAGCGCCCAAAGTGACTTTGTAGATCTCTGCATTTCGAGCGAGGTGGTGTCTCTTCCAGCAGTTGCCTTGTAAAACACAAACTCAGACTTTTTGCCCTATTTCTCACTTGTATCAGGGACTGAGAGATCTGGTTCCTCTGTGTGCAGCCCACTGAGGCTTTCAAGAGACTCCTGAGCACCAAAGGCTGAATTGTGTCGATCTCAGGGTCCCGGACCCTGTGAGGCAGTTGCAGATTAAATACATGTACATCCCAGAGGAGCGGTGTGGGTGCACACATCCTGACTGCAGCGTGTGCCCGGTGAAGTCAGGGTGTATTTATTTGCTACAAACAGCTGAGGATTAATAAAAAATGAGAACACAGTATTTTGGATATGTGAAGTTTATTGTAGGATTCATACCATGCTTACTACTCATGCGAGGTGGTGTCACACATCACATAGCTGAGCTTGTGCCTGAATGAGGGGCAAGCGCTGCTGTAAAACCTGTGCAGTGCAGCTCCAAAAGGGGGACACAAACCAGGGAGGGTGGATCCTAAGGGCACGAGATGCCCTGTCCCTCTCGCCTGGTGTGAGCCCCAGCAGTGGTGGCTGGAGTGGCCTTGTCCCTCAGTGCCACAGGGACTGGGCAGTGCAACCTTCAACTGGAGCAGAGTAACCAAAGCAGCCTAGGGAAGGGGGGATCTCCCAGCATTTGGAGTTCGTCTGGAGTGAGACCAGCTCAGGATATGAACCAAGGAGGCAAGGACCAAACAGAGAAGGTGCACTGCGGTGAGGGTGCGTTGCTGCTCTGAGGCAGAAGTCAGTTCCTGCAGTGAAGTCGGTCATCAAGAAGGTCCTTCATGGTCTGTAACTTGCGAGGAAGGTGGCTATGGCCATTGCTATCCCTGCCACCAGGAGAGAGATCCAGTGACCACGCTGTCTCTGCAAGGCAAAGCAAATGTCACTAGGAAATTGGTGGGAAAAGAGACTTCTCATCGCACCCCTAGCAAACACAGCACCCGTCTTTAGGTGCTGCACAAATACATGGGGGAGTTCTTCCCAGTCTGAAAGCACCGGGGGTCAGGGTGAGCAACGCCTCCCACCTTTGCCTGCCTGCTCTGGAAGTGGTTGAGCTCGTCCCGGCACTGGCGCAGCCGGCTCAGGCAGGAGCGGTACTCCTCGCTCAGGGCCTCCAGCTCTGAGCGCAGCTCCGTGCACTGCAAGCACAGCAAGGGGCCGTTAGCAGGAGGGGTGCCCTCGCCTCTGTACGCACCCAGACCGGCTGGGCCCCCACAGCGGCTGCAGCGCTTCGCCCACACACGGGCATTGCACGCACGGAGGATCTTCAGCTCTGCTACCTGCGTGTCCATGTGTACCTACAGGGGACAGAGCAGATCCCAGTGTCACTGGGAGCGTGGGGGTAGAGGCAATGCCCGGTCTGTTAGCGTCCCGTGGCCTGCTTGGCTTTGCTGCCACCTTCCACATCACATGGGAGAAAAAAGCAATAGTTATTCTTACGACCACAGAAGCGTGCAGGTCAGGAAGAAGATGTGTAGTGTAAACTTGTGGCTGGCATTTCCTCTCTTTCTGAAATTCGTTCTGCACTTCACTGGCTGTGGGAGCAGTTGCAAAGTCCTTTAGACGCCCTGAACATGGGACACACAGGACAAGCACCTCTGTTGTGCTATGCAACCCCAAAACCCAGGGAGGGCCCATTTTCCTGAGCAGCCACAGCACAGGACCCCGCTGCCTTCCCAGGGAGCGGTTCCTCACCAGCAGCTGAGGGAGCAGGACCTGTCCCAAAGGAGCAGGAGCCCTTAGCTGTTCCTATTTGCTGTGATTGTGCCTGACAAAACCCTTTCCCAGGTGGTGCTGGTGATGCCAGATGGTGGTGGTGCACTCGCCAGTGTGGGACAAGCTCTTCTGCATGGCCCTGAGCTCCGCTACAGTAAATTGTGAATCCTTCTTTATGAATCTTTGTTATGCAAGTACTGCTGTAAGGATTGTGGGGCAGTTGGTTGGCAGAGGGCATGGTTTGTGCTACCAGTCTTGTGTCCTAAAACAGTCTTAGATGGGTAAGAGTGTGTAAGAGGTTGGAAAGCTTTCATTTTTTTGCAATCCAGTTGTAAGGGCTCTGTTTTTGTTACCAGACTTTTCCTGTTATGTGCAAGCCTTTTCTTTTCCTCCTCTCCTTCCTTTGTGCTCAGGGTTTCAGCTCATAACATGTGGCTTTGGATTTTCCTTGTGGGACTGCTGAGGCTCTCCTGTCCATAGGAATGGCCGTGAGTTTGTATGGAGAGGGCTCTGCTGCTGCAGCCCCAGGCAGACGCAGATGCTGCATCAGGGGCTTAGGTGAGGCTGCTATTGGTGCAAAAACTGAGCAGAGCTAATCCTTACAGGACACTGAGCTCTGGCCGCTTCCAGGAGCGTTGTGCTGTGCTGCTGGGGCGTTTCACCAGCAGCACAGCAAGGGAGTGGGTCCCAGCTGTGGTTCAGTGCTGCCCTCACCTCCTTCTCCTTCGCCGTCAGCTGGGATGTCCTTTGCTGCACCTCATCCTCCAGGCTTCTTCCTCCCTCCTCCTCCTCGGGGCGCTTTAACAGAGTGATTTGGTTTTCCTTGGCAGGGGCGAGAGGTGGGGTCTGCGTGGTGTAAACCTGGTCTAGAAAACAGTCAGGCTTCTGATGAGAAGCAGGTCCAGGCTCTCCCTGTGCTTTAGCTCTTGTTTACACAGCGCAGTTTAAAGGTAACGTTTGCGTGCTATGCACACAGCAGAGGACACGGGAGCTGAGTTAGTTATCATGGGCCTGGCTCTGCTGCAGCAACAAGTAATCCTCTTTAGAGGAATATTTATAATTAGTTACCAGAAATGGAAGGGAGGGAGAGTTAAAATGCCTTTTTCAAGTACAGCTGTAGTTGCAATTATAAACTGGAATGTATTTTGCTTGCAAAAAAAAAATGGCATAGCCACTGAAGTAGAATTTGCAATGAAATCCATTTATTTTTTAAAGTGTTTGCCATCATAAATACACTTACATTTTAATGTTAACTAGCCAAATATAATAACTTGCTTTGTGCAGCTTTAACATAATCCTTTATTCTAAACCAATTCAGACTTCTCCTAGAGCCAGGTCTAAGGTTCCCGTGTCTGGTGAGCAGTTACAAACTTTGCTGACCTTTCCTTTGCGCCGTCCCCTCCCGGCTCTGCCCGGCCTTGCTCTGGTTCTGGATCAGGGCTGTGAAGGGGAAAAGCCCTGGTTACCATCCACAGCACTAACGCAGGTCTTGCTTTGCACATCTTTGTGTGACTCACAGTGCAACTGGCTGATGGTTGCCTCCAGCGTGACCTTCTGAGTTCGTTCTTTTTGCAATTTATCTGAAATAATGAGAAGAAAAGCATATGAAAACAGAACTGCCACCCATTTGCTCTTCCTTAATTGTGTTTTAAAATAGACACGTGAATTATGTGTAAGTTTCCTTGTCTCTATCTGAATCGGTACTTTAAGACACTGTTACCCCCTATTTATACACTGGTAAAATCCATCACAATGCAGCAGCAGCGGGTGCTGCCTTGGCACCCGAGCAGGCTTGTGCTGCTGTGTTTGATGAGGCTGACAGGGATGTAAAAGTCCTCATCAAAACTGAGGTCTCATCTTTTGATGATATTTTTTTCAAGTCTCCTATTGCATCCTTCCTTCTAGAAAGCTCACTTGACTTCACTGAAGTCCTTCAATCTAGTTGGAAACAGCCTTTGGAAACCAGAGGCTTTCTTGCCAAGCTGCAACGTGCAACACATTCAGAGAAGGATCCTTTTGTGTGCGTGCATGCTTAGCTTTAAGGATGAGGATTTTAAGTGTCTTTTCCTTTTACCCTCCATCCATTTGGAGCCCAGGCCCCATTCCCGCACACTGTACCTTCGATGGCGCTGATGTGCTCTGCCTTGACGTTGTTGTCCTGGCGCAGGGCGCTGGCGCAGCGGTGCAGTGTGGTGTGCTCGCTCTGCAGCCTGTGCAGGGCCTGGCGCAGCTGCTCCTTCTGCGCGTCTGCTTGCTGCAGGCGAGAACAGCCCCGGCAACATCAGCGCAGCCCCGGCACCATCAGCCCAGCACCAGCACCATCAGCCCGGCCCCAGCCCTGTGCCGTGAGCATGCAGCGTAGCCAACTTTCTCGCAACGAAAGGCAGCCCAGAGCTGAACACCACGTTACACATGTAACTGCTGTGCTGCATTGAGTGGGATCTATTTCATAGTGATTGCGACCTGGGGGGTCCCCTGCTTGGAAATGGGAAAATGCGGGCTCTGGTGGATGTTGTACCTGCGGGGAACCAACGTACCTGCAGTCTGCTCTGCAAGAGGTGGAAGCTGTTCTCCAGCTCGGTGTGTGCTGCGGTGGCCCTGGTCAGCTCCTCTCTCAGCGTGGTGTAGTGCTCTTTCCAGAAGGCGAGGTCCTCGCGCGTTGCTGCCAGGCTCCTCTGTAGGAGAGCAAGGACCCACGGGTGGGCTGGGGCCACACCAGGCTGCCCCAAAAAATACCCATCGGGGGTCTGCCATGGGGCTGGGGCAGCGTTGCCTCCTCCCCGGGGCTGTGGTGACCCGTGTGGGTCTGATGCCATCTGATGGACAGTGTGGATGGGGTGGAGGGTTCGCTGTGGAACCAGGGTTCAGAAAGCTGGTGATCTTTGGGATACAATTCGTTTATTGTTCTGAAAATACCTGTTAGCAATTTGGTTTGACCCACAGGTACCTCCTGGGGAAAATCCATTTTCATCTAAAAGAGCCACTCCAGAAATAAAGTCTCTGTCTCATGCCCTGGATGTCTGCATGTGGGGTTTGCTGCTCCATGTGTGCGGAGCAGGGAATGGGAAGAAGGGACAGTGGAGGAGAAGGGATTACACTCAAACCTGCCAAACCACAGCATATTTCCCCAACTGTGCTGTTTTTAATATCCTATTGTGTGGCTCACAAAATGAGCACGGGTTGCCACTAAGTTGCTTTGAACTAAAACTGTATCTTTGCACCTTTGTTACTAATGGTAAACTAGACATCACGTTGTCCTGAAACGCGGGGGTTCTTTGTTGTAGTTGGACAAGATCAAAGCAAAGCTGGGTGTCAAACGTGTTTCTTACCTGAGAGTTTTGCAGCTGCTGCTCTGTCTGGAGTTTCTGCTCCAGCATCTTCTGAAGAGTCTCCTTTGCCTTCTGCTCGTAGGTCTGCTTCTGGTCCTCCATCTCTATCAGGATCTTCTTCACACACTCCTTTGAGTAACTCTTTAAAGTAAGAATTAAAGTGCGTGAAGGGTCTTACCTGACACATTCCTAATCTTGCTAAACCTGAATATTAGCAAATCCAGACTGTGTAAATGCTGCTGCTAATGTGCTGTGAAGCGTTGCTTCAGCAAAGAGGAAAAATCAGATCCGTATCTAATCAGATTTCTCTGGAAGCTGAGACCCCACCTAATTACGTCGTTCTGTATTTTGTTTTCATGCCTTTCTTTGCCCATGTTTGTTTCTGGGTGATCAGACGTTACCTGGGTGCAGGCCTGCAGCTGATTTTCAAGCGCCCTTAATTTGCACTTCAGTTTATCCTCATTCAGCTGGCCCTGGGGAAAAAAGCAATTGAACTGATATGTGGAATCATGAACTATACAATATACCTCCAATGTTTTGTTAGCTTGTGTGTTGAATCAGAATAAATGGGATACGAGGGAAGACTTTTATGCACTGCAGAGCTCTCTGGAGGCTCTCTGGTTACTGAGCCCAAAGCTCGGGCTGGTGCTGAGCTCTGGTCCTGCTGCTTTGTTTTGTTAGGCTGGGTCTGGGTTGCAACACCCAGCAGTTGGGCAGGGGGTTACAGGGCAACAGTGATGACTTGTTTTCCTTATTATCATCTCCTCTCAGTGTTAGTCAGGCTGCTTAGGCTTTGTGAAACCAGACTGCATGCAAATTCAGATAACATTTCTAGCAAAGAGTTCATGTAGGCTGTCTTTCCACCACCGATACTGAGAACATCCGTATCATCTCTGCTTACTGCTGTTTGAAGTCAAGCCTCTGAAAAAACAACTCCTTGATGCTGCAGGGATAGCTGTCAGACCCAACCAGAACTGGATTTTGGTGTCTTAGCAGTGTTTAAATTTGTGCAGAAGTTTACAGTCTCAAAGACCAAATCTTCCCAGTTCAGTTGTTGGTACAAAGCACCAAAGGCTCTGTCCTCTTAGAAAGTGGGTGGAATTTTGAAAAACATTTTAATGCATGAAATATTATTCCTAGTTTTCTCTGCAGTTTATTGAATTCTGTCTGCAAAGGTTCACGTTGGAGGGTGGTGGTTGTGCACAGATGTAAATGACTGTGCAAAGTACAAGCAACGGAGCACCAGGCCCTTCCTACGCTTGAGAGCAGAAATGTGCTGGCAAACTCCTTACATGGAGATGCAGCTTATAAATTGGCAAAAGAACATAGAGCATAAAACTCTTCCTAAATAGAATAAGCTGTCAGTTGGGGCTATTATCAGAACAGCATGGCAGTGAGGGGTGAGTATGTGCACGCACGTAGGAGGGCATAAGAAACTGTGCTTCTGACCAGAAAAGTTACGTGAGCAAATCTTGGTCAAGCCCTTGTGCTGCAGATTGTCTACAATAAAGGGGCTGCTTTAAAAAAAAGCCCCAACCAACCCCCCAGAAGCAACCAAAACGCCCACCTACAACTAAACAGAACAGCAAGAGCCCCTCTAGCTGCTGTGATCAGATGTGGTGGCTTTTCCTCTGCTCTGCTGTGTCCCCAGCGATGCTCTCTGAACACCTCTGAAGTCCTTTGTCAGACTCTTAGTTTCTCTCCTGAGGTCACTTATGTGCCATACACGTGTGTTAAACTGGCTTTTGCTGGCAGCTGTAGTGTCGTGGTTGTCCTAGGATTGGTAAATTCTCTGATACTCCTTCCCTTGGTGATTTTCAGTAGCTGATTTAAAGCAACAATAATAAATGCTGTTTCTGGAAGAGTCCCAGTTTGCCCAAACACAATGGCTTGTGCTGGAAAAATGGGTCTGTAAAGTAGTAATAATGCAATGGAAATGGCAGAGAGCTTAAACTGCAGGGCTGCAAGGTACTTCCAAAAGTCAGGTGCAACTTCAGAGGTCAGGAACAGGAAGAACATCATAGAATCATAGATGCATTACAGTAGTAATTTTCTCCTTCAAGAAGGGAACAGCTCAAAACTAATAACTCTTAATAATAACCAAGGCTCACTTAGCTTCCTTTGAGAGCGTGTTTGAATCAACTGAGCAAGTTTTACAGCAGATGGGGGAGTGAAGCTCCAGAGCTGCGGTAGGAAGGGCTCTCTACTCTGTCAGCAAAATTGTGGGAGGGAGAAGGACCCAAAGGCCCCATCCCTTTGGTTTAATCGCACCTCCCCTTCATGGGGAGTATTCAGTCCATCAAAGCAGAAGCACCCACGAACACGAGCAGTATCTCAGAAACGACCCTGTGGCCATTTCGGGAGTTGCTGCCAGATAATTCGAGTGTATGCAATCGCATCTCTGAAACCCTAAATACTGGGAAGGATTAACAAGCCCTTGGCATCTCACCTGGGCCTGCGAACAGGCGACCAACCATCGGTTTCCACAGCACAGCTGATGGTACAGGACCTGTCCATAGCTCCCTGTGCAGCACCTCCCGGAGGAGCCCCTTGCCCCCCGCCTGCCCCCTCTGCAGCCCTGGGGTCCCCCCCAAGCCGGCCCTGCTGCTTCCTCTGCTCCAGTGCCGGGGCGAGTTAATCTTTACTGCGACGAGAGGCCGGGTGCCAGGGCAGCAGCAAAGGCTATGGGAGCAGAGATGGCAAGAAGCAAAGTGCACCCACCTGTTTCTAATCTGGGCTTGCATGGCTACTTCCTGCAGTGTGCCGGGGTGTTTTTTCCTGCTCTCGTTATATCTGAAGAGGCAGGCGCAGGCGGAAGTTTCTAACCGCAGCACTTTTAACGCAAGGGTTTTACACCATCTCACCCAATCACTTGCTTTTCTGCCCCAGCAGAACTTTGAAACCTCTTTTCTAATTTCACAATGAACTGTAAATCAATATTTGATTTAATAATTCTCTATAAAACACTTCATATGTCTCATAAAATGCATCACCTTAATTTTACCTCCTGAAAGCAAAAAAAGTGGGCCCTGGTTCAATGCTCCCTGGAGGATTTTGAGCTGCGGGGAAATAGGTGCTCTGCTGAATCATGGCCCTGCATTAAACCAAGGTTGAGCGTACGAGACCCTCATGGTATTGGGTCTCTGCCCTGTATTTGGGACCAGAATAAATCCCCAAAAGGAGCTGGGGCAGGGGATGTCCCCGCGGGTCCCAGTGAGGAGTGGCAGGAAGGCTGTGTGTGCTGGGCGGGGGTTTTTAGCCGTTGTGATCTCAGATTAAAAACAGGCTGGTTTTTCCCCATCCAATGTGGTGTTTTCCAGCACTGGGGTGCACCAGTTTGGTGCATCTGAAATTTTTATTTTGGTTAAAAAAAAAAGGTTCAAAATACTTGAAATTTGTTGTGAGTAGGAAAGAAAACTTGGTGGAAGATGGTTGGTTGTGTTCGTTCTATTTTTTTCCCCACTTACATGCATCTGTTTGCTTTTTATTTAAGAAAAAGTGGGAAAGGCAGGTAAAAAAGAAACCCCAAACCCTTACAGAAGAAAAGGGTTTTACACTTCCTGTTGATCTGAAAGGTCACTTCTGCGTTTGTGTTCAGCCCCCCCTAAAAACCAGGTGACCAAACCTCCCGCCACCCCAGCAGCCTCCTGCCGCCCTCGGGTACCTGCCACGATTTTTCGGATGCTTGCAGCAGCGTGGAGAAAAGCTCCTGCAGAATCACCATCTTCTGCTTGAGCAGCAGCTCGCGGTGCAGGGCCTCCTGCGGGGAAGGGAAAGGGTGTCAGGGGAAAGCCTGGATCTGTTGGAGACCCCCCCATACCTCCCTCCAGCCCAGGGTCGGGGCTTCCTCTGCTTGGGGGGTTCAGGCAGGTCTTTGGGTTCAGTGCCTTGTGCGTGGGCTTTCCTGGCCACGTTAAAACTAGGTCTGTAACACCTCTTTATTCAGTAATAGTGGTAATTTTAAAAGTGGTGTTGTGAAGAGCTGCGTTCGGGGTGGGAATGTGCAGGGTTTGGTACCCACCTTCAGGTAGTTGGAGAGCTGCACCATCTCCTGAAAGGGAAAGGGCAAGTGTTTAAAAACAGCAGGACTGTTTCAGTTTATAAACAGTTTATGAACTGGCCGCAAAATCCAAATATTTTGAGATAAAACTGGAGTTTACAGCCTGGGTCTGGGGGGAGGAGGAGGAGGAGGAAGAGGAGGAGGAGGAGGAGGAGGAGAGCCTGCTGGGCTTTCTTTGGTTTTTCCAGGGAAATGAAAGTATTTTCTGCAGCAATTGACAGCACTGGAGTTAGGGCATCTCTGCCATGTAGCATGTCAAACAGGGCAGGTACTGAACCAGAGCAGTGGGTACCACGGGACAGAGGGCCCTTTCTCCCCTGTAGCAGCAGTGTCATCGTTTTTGTAACTATAGAAATCCAGCACCTGTCAAAGTCCAGAAACTGATTTCATCTGCAGGAGTTCAAGGCCAGTTGTTAGCTGTGTTTCACTTACCTTGTTTAAAACCGCTATTCCACAACTAAAATAAAGAAGAAGGCGTGTTACTGAGGTGAGGGTGATGTGGGGTCTGCAGTGCTCCCCCAGCCCCAGCACAGGGGGGTGTTTGTACACCCCGTGCTGAGGTGAAATGCATTTGGGCATTGGAGGCTGCTGCCCTGCAGGTACCCGAATTCCCAGCCCGGGCAGGGAGGGGGGCAGTGGCTTACTCCGTCTGCTGGCTCGAGTCTGTCCGTCCCGCGCTTGCGGCTGAGAGGGTCTGGGTTCCTGTGAAAGCAAAGCGAAAGGCTGTGACCGATCCCCATCCCAGGGGCCGTGAAGTTCTGTTTGAGTGTCCCTCTCGGAGATGGCATCGCTTCTGGGCTGGAGAGCCCGTGTTTAAACCCTGTCCATAGCACAACCCCACAGGGACTGGAGGGGACAGAGGGACAGAGAAGTGCAAGTTCAGTGATCCTGGAGTCAGCCCCCAGAAAACTGGGGGACGCTTATAGGGATGCTGTAGGGCAGAGCATCTGTGGCTGTTAAATGGGGCTGGGTTATCGCTCCACAGGGAAAATATCCTTAACACCTGCAGCTGAGACTCGGACTGGGGGGGGTAAAACTTAGCGCAGGTCTGGCGATGGAGCTGCCAGCTCGCATCCCAAACTGCTCGATGGAGGCTCAGAGGTGGGAGAAATGCTGCTGTGCTGGGAAACCCACACATCCCTCACCTACCTTGGGTGTTCACAGATGCTCCTTGCTTGGGGACAGCTTCTGCTGAAATGCTGAGGGGGATGCTGAGGCTGAGTGGGGACCGTGCAAGGGTGAGCGTGGGGCAGCTCCATGGGTGCTGGAACGAGAGGGCAGCTCAAGTCAGCATCTTGACTTGAGAGGTTCTCCTCCCCCTCTACTCTGCTCTGGTGAGACCGCATCTGGAATATTGCATCCAGTTCTGGGCCCTCAGTTCAAGAAGGACAGGAACTGCTGGAGAGAGTCCAGCGTAGGGCTACAAAGATGATCAAGGGAGTGGAGCATCTCCCTTATGAGGAGCGGCTGAGGGAGCTGGGGCTCTTTAGTTTGCAGAAGAGGAGACTGAGGGGAGACCTCATTCATGTTTATAAATATTTCAAGGGTGAGTGTCATGAGGATGGAGCCAGGCTCTTCTCGGTGACAAACAATGATAGGACAAGGGGTAACGGACACAAACTGGAACACAGGAGGTTCCACTTCAATTTGAGAAGAAACTTCTTCTCAGTGAGGGTGACAGAGCCCTGGCCCAGGCTGCCCAGAGAGGTTGTGGAGTCTCCTTCTCTGGAGACATTCAAAACCCGCCTGGACGCCTTCCTGTGTAACCTCATCTGGGTGTTCCTGCTCCGGCAGGGGGATTGGACTGGATGAGCTTTGGAGGTCCCTTCCAATCCCTAACGTTTTGTGATTCTGTTCTGTGATTCTGTGATCTCCCCAAAACGGGCGGTGAAGAGTGGAGGGGAAGGGGGCTGTGGCCGGGTTAGGCTTTGTCCCTGCAGTGAGTGGTGAAGAGCATCGAGGAGATGCTGAGAAACCACAGCAAATCCACTGGGGTCTGCTGCTTTGGCTGCAGCAGCTCCAGAGCAGTGTAGTGAAGTGGGGGTAAAACCTGCTGGCTCCTGGGGGCCACCGGGACAGGACAAAGTGTCTTGAGAGAGTTTTTGAAAAGATGAGGACTTTTGGTGGCAGGGACCTGGGTCCTGGCTTAGGTCTCTGCTGCTGTTTGGCTGCCTCGGAGCAGTGCATTCTCACTTCTGGCTGTACTTGGATTTGGATGCTGATGCTGTTGCGATCAGTGGGTGCTGCAGTGGGTGCTGCAGTGGGTGCAGAGCAGGGAGCTGTGCTCCAGGATGGGCATTACCTGGAGCAGCACGGGCGCTCTCGGCTCCACCGTTGAGGAGGAGTCCGGGGGGTTGTGTGTTCGGGGCTCCCTCCCAGCATCACTCGCCAGGTTTCTCCTCCTGAGGAACTCCCTTTGCCGGGGGCTGTGCTCTGGCCCCCCCGGTGCCCTCCCGAGGTGGCGGCAGGTCGTCACGTTGTTCCTGCGCCGCAGGTTCTCCCGTGTCTCGTGCCGCCGCTCGCACTTCTCATCGTAGCTCTCGCGCCGGTGCCGCGGCCGTGCCCTCTCGGGCCGGCTGATCATCTTGGGTACGGCGCTGCTGATCGGTGACCGCTCTGGGGGCCTCTGTCCTGGGGAGACCGAGGGAAAAGACGCAATTGGGGTGAAAACTACTTATTTCAGAGTAGCTTATTCCTGGGTCTGTGGCTTGGTGCCTCCATTGCAAATACAGGCGTAGGGATTGGTGGTTCAGCTTTGGGATTACTGAGTTGTTAAGATGCGCTCATAACTGGGGGCACGGGCTCTCCATGGTACCAGTTTGCCTCAGGCACGAATTCTGCCTCCATTTCTGGGGATTTCGTGGCCAAACAAGGCAGTGGCCTGGCCGAAGCAGGAGCTCCACTGTTTCGGCCCTGTTGTGCCAGTGTGGATGCGAAACCTCCTCCTCCTGCTGACTCCCCTGCACCGTTGCAAGCTGCCGGTGCATTGTTTTTTACTGGACTTTGGTCATATTGAGTGTATTTGGGCCTTTGCTTCTACATTGGTTAAAGAGAAAGCAGAGCAATAACTATCCACAACTCCTCTTCCTTCTGCCCTCAAGCAAATGCTGTGTCCCCCTCTCCTGTCCTCTTGCCCAGTGCAGAGGCTCCTCATCCCCATGCGCACCCCCTGAGCAATGCCCAGGGGGCTCAGCCTGGGATCGGCTGTGCCTGGTGTGGAGGTTTCTTAGGTTTAGTAAATCCTGTTAATGTAGGAAGGAGGTGAGGGGGAAATATTATCTGAAAATTGAGGTTAAATGTTCTTTGGTGTCAAAACAAAACCACCAAAACTTCATTGGTCTCATTCTGTCCTAAGGAATTAGGAAGTTGTTGAATCTAATGAAAAAAATAAGGGAACAAGTAAACCCTATTTACATACAGAACACTTCCGTGCTTTTTGGTCTGCATTAAAATCTGCTCCACCATTCTTTGTATTGTCCTTGTGCTAGCCGTGGTGCACTCTGAGCTCATTGCTAGAGCTGTTCTTTCGCTGCAATGGGCCTCCTTTGGAAGGAGAGCAGTGTTTTCAGGGCAGCCAGCTCTTGCTTTGAGCTGGGAAGGTGCCTGCAAACCCATGGCCAGGACACATAATTCTTAATTTTAGAATTGGCCCAGTTGCAGGTTCAGTCCAGACCTCACATGTCCAGCTTGGTCCTCACTCATCCAGCTCTTCCTGCCAGGAACAGCTCGGCCCCTCTCCCACCTGCACTGCCGCGGGGCATCCCAACAGCAGCTCCTGTCACAGCTTCCGTCAACCAAAAATGTGCTTTAAAGCAAGGTAAAGCTTAAAGAAATACACAGTCCATTACTCATCCCAAGCTGAGCAAACTGTTGAGGCCTTCTTGACAAGCTACTACTCTTTTCCTCCTCCTGTTACCCCAAATTACCCTCTCTAATTAACAAGCATGCCCTTTAGCTTTACTTTCCAAGCTGTTACACTTCTCACTTCAAGGGAAAACAGGGAAGAAAAAAAGTGCTTCTTGCTGGTTCATGTTACAGCCTCCCGGTGTCACCACGTAGGCTGAAAGCGGGGTGAAGAAAGAGGAAAATAGGTGCCCATTGCTGTCTGTAGCACAGCAGCCTCTGCTCCCCTCCACCCCTCACTGGCCCCGGCGCTGCAGGCACTTACCTGGCTGGGGATGCCATCCTACCCCTCGACCGCTGCGGAGGAGCGGGGGGTTATGGGGTGCGGACACGCTCCTACTGCCATCTTTGTGCCAACCACCTCATTTTGCTGCTCTCACTCATTTTCTCGCTCTGTAAAACAGGAAACGTTGCAGCCGCAGCGAGCCCCGGTTCCTGTCCCTGCTTGCAGCCTGGCCGTGGGGTGCGGGGGCCCAGCTCACAGAGGGATTTGGGTTATCTTGGGACCCCAAAGCATCCAGCTCCTCTCTAGGCAGAGCCAGCTGTTATCTTTGGGGCCATCTCCCTTTATCGGTCTCCGACACGCGGAGGTCGAGCACTGGTTCACGGAGCTGCTTGTGGCACCCGGTGACCACGTCTCCCCGAGCTGCTTTAGGCCAGAGAAATCCAGACTTAGGGAAGTACAGTAATGCTATTATTTTAAGGCTTCTTGCAGTTTGGAAAGGAAAAAAAGTGTGTATCAGCAGCTGAGCAGAGGTCACCAATGGCAGAAATTCATTAAGGTCTTTAGAGAAGTGAAAGCTGCGTTAATGCAAATGATGCAGGGAGGTCGGTTTAACCAGCTGGGCGCCGGTAAGGGCTCTGTGCACGTGGAAAAGGAACACAAGTGACAGCAGAGATCTCGTGAAATAACGTGGCATTTATTTTTCACAAAGACCAGCCTAGAAGGGGTACACGACAGAAAATTTCCCAGTTCAAAACCCTCTCATGGCTTTGGGTGGTCTGTGCTGCTCGGCCCAAACCCTGATTCTGGGCTGGGGCTGGGCTTGCTTTGCACGGCGCTCAGCACTGATGCTGTGGTGGCTCTCGGTGGCTGAGCAGGACACTGGCATTGGATCCTGCTGCCAGGAGCCAACCTGAAGTGCCTCTTGGTTGGAAAAAGCCAGTTTTAAGAGCTCATTACTAAAAAGGACATTTTCATGCTGTGTTACAGTCTCTTTTGGTGCATCCCATCTTGGGTTGCTGGGGTGCATCAGACTGGGGCCGCACCGACGGCATGGAAAAGGGCACCCAAGTAGCTGGTTTAACACCCAAATCCCTCGTGCCTGGCCCAAGGTGTCCCGGTGCACTCGCCATCCCGGGGGCTATGTTCTTCTGATGTTCTCCACGATATAGCTGCCCCTGATGAGGGAGTCGAGGAAGTCGGGGGCTATGTCTCTGAGCAGGAGCATGACGCCCAGCAGCCGTGATGGGTAGTGCAGCTCCCGCTGGCGCAGCGCCCCGCTCCTGATGATCTCCAGCGCGCACTCCTCCTTCGGTGCCGGCACCATCCGGAGGGCGTGAGAGACCGCTCGCACCGCGCTCTCTGCAGGGACGAAGGAGCAGCGTGGGATGGGGCTGCCACAGACACCACCAGCTCCCTCGCGGTGTCTGCAGCCTCCTCTAGCAAACTGACACACTCTGGGGGTCAGACCTGCTTAGCAAGGCTTAGAATAGTTAAAATAAATAAGTTATAGTGATGTCCTTCCCAATGCTTTTCACTTCCTGAGCGATCGTAGGAGGGAATCCCCACCTCCCTTACTGCAAGGACAGCAGAGGCAAAGGTCTCAGGCCACACTTTAAGAGCAGGGGTCCTGTTTCCACACTTGCACAGCCTCTGCAGGCTGAGGGTCCTGCAGTGGTGGGGAGCACCGTGCTGGGCAGACTGGGGCTAGAGGGGGGTGGTGGGCTCATCTTGGCTCTGGAAACACCCCAAGACCCGGGCTCCCGTGATGCTGAGCTTACCCGTGTTGATGTAGCCCAGGATGCAGAGTGTGATGGAGACATTGACCTTGTCTATGATGAGTTCCTGCCTCAGAGAGCTGAAAAATCCGTCTAAGGCGAATTTAGTTGCAGAGTAGGGAGCAGTAAATGGGCCACCGACTTTACCTGGAGCAGAGATCCAAGGTCAGTGTTTGTGTACCAGGCTTTGCCCTTCACCCTGAATCACAATTGTAGCTACTTGGTGGAGTCATGAATACTTGAGAGAAATAAACAAATGCAGGAATGTTTAAAATGTCACATATGGCACACAGTGGCATGCAGTACCTTCAGTTGTGGGTGATACTGTTCTTGTATTCCTGCATATGTACCCATGTACAGCAAATGCCTCTGTAATATGTGCCCACACGCATAAATTAACCTGCAGTGGGGCACCATCGCCTGCAGTGCGTGAAGGTGATCAGTGGGTGCCAAGAGACCAGCTGGACAGAGCAGAGAATATAAACCCCCCAGAGGACTTGAATTGTGCATCCAGGATATAAATCATATGCTGATCCTGCCTGCCAGCGGGTCTCTCTGTGCCTTGTGGGCCTTGTTCTGCCTTTTGAAGAGCCGCAGTGGGGATCCCTTGCAGGGAGAGCCTGGCCCTTCGTGTGCTCACCCGCCACGGATGAGACGACGACGACGCTGCCCTCGCTCTCCTTCAGCATGGGCAGGGCAGCCGTGGTCATGGCCACGTAGCTCAGGAAGTTGGTCTCCAGGAGCTTTCGTACGTGCCCAACGTCCCCGTTGAAGTAGCTGAAGTAGCTGTGACCGATGTGGTTTAGGATGAGCATGTCGAGGCCTCCTGCAAGCAGATTAAGTTTGGTATTAACAACCAGCACCTCAAAACAAAGCAGTTTGGCTGGGATGGCCCCAAAAGGTAGCACGGGATATGCTGGGGAGCGGGCAGGGGCAGCTCCCCACCACCTACCCCAGGTGTTCTCAGCCTCCTTCACCACCACCTCAGGGAGCGCCGTGTCCTCCATGGAGCCGCTGACGTAGCGGGCGGACGCAGCACCCAGCTCCAGGCACCGCTCCACAACCTACAGCAACAGCAAGAGCGGTGTTGGTGATGGACCCCCCTCCACAGACCCCTGCTGTCCCACAAGGGATATAAAAAATCAACATTTTGATTCTGTTGTATACAAGGTGCAAAAGCAGTTCAGACTTTGAGAAGATGCAAGGGTTGATCAGACCAGGACTTGGGCTGAGTACTGTGATCCTTGGTGGTGGAGATCAGAATTCACAGCTGAAGATTGCAGAGAAAGAGATCACAGAATCCCAGACCGTTAGGGATTGGAAGGGACCTCAAAAGCTCATCCAGTCCAATCCCCCTGCCGGAGCAGGAACACCCAGATGAGGTTACACAGGAAGGCGTCCAGGCGGGTTTTGAATGTCTGCAGAGAAGGAGACTCCACAACCTCTCTGGGCAGCCTGGGCCAGGGCTCTGTCACCCTCACTGAGAAGAAATTTCTTCTCAGATTGAAGTGGAACCTCCTGTGTTCCAGTTTGTGTCCGTTACCCCTTGTCCTATCATTCTTTGTCACCAAGAAGAGCCTGGCTCCATCCTCGTGACACTCACCCTTTAAATATTTATAAACACATGCGGTGCTGTCAGCTTTGAAAACGCAATTTGGTGCAGCGAGGGGTGTGTGTTAGAGCAGGTTTATGGTGGGGAGATGCTGGGGTGGATCTGTAGGGTATCAGACATCCCCGCATGCCCAGGGGTGAATATGTGCATTCTGCCCTCCTGTGGGGTTCTTGATCGCCAATGTGTTTGGCCAGCCCGGCACGCTCTGCTTGCCATTTACTTTCTGCAGTTTGGCCTCGGTCCGTGCGGTGAGCAGTAGGTGGGCCTCCATGCGTGCCAGGTGATACGCCATCTGCTCCCCGATGCCGCTGCTGGCCCCGGTCACGATCACCCGCTTCCCTCGGAGCATCTCTGGAGAGGAGGGTGCAGAGCTGAGAGCAGGCACGGCCTGCGCTATCCCCCCCCCATGGCTCCTCTGCCCCACTGCAGCGTGCCCTGCTTGTGCAGACCCCGACTGGAGCCTGGTCACCAATCCCAGCCAAATAAATGAGATCACTTCCTGCGCATCTCGGCAGACCCCAGCATAACCCCACGAGCTCTCCTGTGCGGCGCAGGCTGCTCTGACCCCTTGCGCTGGGGCTGCCTGCGCTCCCCTCTGAGCTCTCAGCCCTTTGGCTCTTTGAGCTGTGCTTTGGAGAGCCCCTTGAGCAGCCCGTGCTCTTCTGCGTGGGCAGCAGCCTCCCTGACTGTGCTTTTAAAGCGTGTTTTTTTTTCAATGACTTACCCTCACTGAAATTTTCGGGTCCTGAATAAAAATAAAAGGCCAGCAGCAGTCCCAGCAAGGGGATGAAAATCTTCAGGAGCAGACCCATCCCTCTGCAAAAGTACAGGCAGGAGCGAGACAGACTCCACGGCTCTGCTGCGGCGAGGTGGACGTGTCGGTAGGTTGGGAGTGGTACCGGTTTTGAACTGGTTCTTATCTTGCACACGTTTGCTGTATCTGTTAGACCTTTTCTTTGTGCTTCCTGTGATTTAGCAAACATTAACTTAAAGGAGAGCGTAGCATTGGACTTCAGGCTGTCCCTTTGCACCCTCGTCCTGCCAGGAGTTTCAGGCGTGGTTTCAGAGCTGGCAAAGTTTGTGTTTTTAGACCATTTTCAGTGCTTCTGGGTTATCCTATGTGATATCACCATTGGTGTAATACCGACAGTTTGCTGGTTGGCTCTTGTACCAAAAAAAATAATTGCGCTCTTGTCTTGAGGAATCCACGGATTGCAAAAGGCAGGAAAAGAGCCAAGCGTGAGAATAATGATCTTCAGCTTTCACAAGCGTTGCATGTCGCCCTGCTCAGCATCTGCCTGGGCATATGGCGAACGGGTTTGCAAATAGTTTTCTGAAAGAGAAAGTTTAAAGGGCAAAACCCACTCTGTGTGCACTGGTTTGTGTAGGCGATCTTGGGATATGGGGAACAGAAATGCCAGCTCCTGAATTCCTCTAGGCAGTGAGGAGCAGAACTGGGGAGTGCTTCAGTGGGAAGGGTTTGGGCAAGTGTTGTGTTGCTTTGTCTCAGAATGAGTAAAAATGGCCAGAAACAGGTTAGATGTAAATGCACCAGCTCGGGCACTGCTGCCAGGGTCAGGGAACGGCGCAGAGCTCGCTGCGGGCTCATGCTTTGGTTCTGCCTTCAGCATGCATTGCCCCCCGGCTCGCATCTGGAAGGCATTTTCCATGTTTATTATGTTCGTGTAAGAAACTGTACTGCAAATAAAACTTTCCAAACTTGGTGGGAAAACTTGCATTTAATTTGGCCATTAAGCTAACCAAAAAGCTAGGCTAAAACCAGAGTTATTCCTAAACTGAAATAATGAAGGATTATTGCAAGGATGCAACTTCCCTGGGAAAGGCAATGAGTGGAGCTGTGTCCATTCACAGCAGCGCGTAGTAATGAAGAGAGGATTTTAAAAACAAGCAAACAAAACCTAAACAAACAAAAACCCCCAAGCAAAACACACAAACCTGTCAGGTTAGTAAGTTTTATTTAGTAATTACTCATTACATCTCCCTGGCCTGGGGAAGGGGCTGACTGCTGGACCCCCCTCACGCCTCGTACCGCGCTCCCACCCGGCGCCGTCACCCGAAATCATGAACTTTTCGAAGCGGCAGCGGATTTCTCCGCCGGGAGCCCCGTTCCACCGTGCGCGAAGCCACCTCCGCGGCTGCAGGGCCCGTCTCCGCCGGCAGAGGAGGGTGTTGCACCGGCCAACCCT